ATGCCACAATATGGATGAACCTTGAAGAAATTATGCCAAGTGAAACAAGCTGACGACAAAAAGGCCAATACAGTGATTCCACCTACATGAGGTACCTAGAGTCATCATATTAATTCAGACAGAAAGTAGAAAGGCAGTTGCCTGGGGCTAGAAGGAGGGGAGAACAGGGAGTTACTATTTAACTGGTTCCGTTTATGTGTTTTGCAAGTCACAGAACAGTTTTGCCAAGATGTGATTTTTGTTTGAATTCTCAGTTCCCCCACTTCAGATTAGCTGTTAGCAGAGCTGATTTTGAGCTTATCGGTCTTGCTTGTTTATTCCCCTGAACAGCTGAAAGTAGTGGATTCAGGATTCCAACCCAAGGCAGCTGTGATGCTCAGCTTGGACTTTTCAACCATAGGACTGCCCTAAAGGTGAAAGCAGCCTTTTCAGATCCACACAGCCCATTTGTCCCCAATCCATAACAAATGCAATTTGACAACAGCGACTATTCCAGGCATCATAAAACATACAGGTATATGGCATCACTTGGCCTCTAGGACCTCACAGACTGAAGGACAAAACAAATAGAACTGTAGGGAAGTATGATTCATTCAAGAAAGCAAATGACCCTGTGCCCTTGTAAAGTATCTATATAGCTGTGATAGTGCTTGCTTATATTTGGTTAAAATCCTTTGACAAAGAAACAGGCCTCTTCTTTGATTACTAGAGATGAGTTTCAAATTTAAAATGGAAACATGTAACACATTTACTTAGGTTTCTCAGACATATAAACAATGGTGTTAGCATCTTTCCTAAGGAGTAGAATTTAGATAGAGCAGAAAAAGAAAGCAACAGTAATTTCTCACATACACACCATAACTTAATGCTGGGGTCAGCAAATTTTTCCATAAAGGGCTAGATAGAAAATATTTTAGTCTTTGCAGACCATAGGCAGCCAAAGACTAGGTAAACAAACTAGTAAAGCTGTAGTCCAATAAATCTTTATTGATGGACACTGAAATTTGGATTTAATGTAATTTTCACAGGTCATAAAATATTATTCTTCTTTTTAATTTTTTCCATCCAACTGAAAATATAAAAACCACTCTTGGCTCAGGCTGTAGAAACAGCAGAGAGGCCGAATTTGGCCTGCAGCTCTAATTTGCAAGGCTTGCTTCTCCAGTTGTAGCCGAAGGTCCAACAACATTGACAGCACCTGAAAACTTGTTAGAAATGCACACCTTCAGGCCCCACCCCGCAGCCACTGGAGGACATTTTAAGAACATCACCTGTGTTCATGTACACATCCAAGATTGAAAAGCACTGGTGTGAGGTCTACACAGGCTCCAAAGCCAGACTGGTGAATCCCAGTGCTGTAATACAACTTCTCTGAGAAGTGCCCCTGGGAAAGTTCTAAGCTTCTCTTTGTCTCAGTTTCCCTACACACAAGATGAGGATGATAGAACTGTCTCCCTCAGCATGGTTGTGAGAATTACACTCACACACAGAACTCAGTATTTGTCGTTACTGTTACAAAATCTTGTGTTACTGTCCCAGCGACTGCTCTGACACAGGTACTGTGAAGAAACCGTGGCCCCAAGAGTTGGAGACACTTGTTTAGAGTCACAAAACAAAGGTCTTTCTGTCTCCAAATTTATCCTGAAGATAATGAAGGATTTAAGGGTACAGAAGGGGTCATGCTCCCTAGGGGACTCAGATCTTCCTGTTCATGTGTCCTTTTTTTTTTTTTTTTAAGATTTTTTTCTCATATAGACCATTTTTTAAATCTTATTGAATTTGTTACAATATTGTTTCTGTTTTATGTTTTAGCTTTCAGGCTGTAAGGCATTTGCAATCTCCAGCCAGGGATTGAACCCACACCTCCTGCATTGGAAGATGAAGTCTTAACCACTGGACCACCAGGGAAGTCCCAACACATGTCCCTTCTAAGGATTCCCTCTCAGTAGCCCTTTTCAGCCCTTATTCCTTATATATCCCCTCCCCTGACAGCATGAAGCTCCAACTCCACACACAGGGACCTTCCCCCAAATCTTTACCCCAAGTTCCCCTTTTATTCCTTGAAATTTATCCTCCATTAAGTTGCACAGTGTTTTTTTTTTTTTTTTACAACTTTTCCTTCTAGTTGTGGATTGTAAATTTTCTCTCTGCTGAGTCCTGTAGCTGGCTGACTGTTTTTCATTATATTTGGAGGCCTCAGGGGAAAAAAATAGGCAATTCCTTTATTTGAGATTCCTGACATTTATTAGCATAATAAAACTCTCAAGATGAGATTGCAGTTTTCCAGAGAGTAATTTCATTTGCAGGACAACTTACAAGGAATTTATTTTAAGGCCAGGTAAAAACTAAAATCTATGAGACATGCAGAAAGTGCGGGCCCCGAATAAAAGGAAATAAATGTGCTGGGCATGGAAAACTCAGCTGTTGTCTCTCACAAGTTAATTAGGGGTGACAGGAACAACAGCTTAGGGAATCAAGTTCTCAACCCATCCTCTTCTGCTTTCAAAGCTGCTTTTGAAAAGAAGGTTCTTCTTGTTAGTTCCTTCTAACACCTCGAAAATCATCACATCATATCCCCTTGACACTTGAAACTATTGTCACTGTTAAAGCAGTGGTCACCAGCAATACCTTCCGTTTCACAGAGCTCTCATATTTATCATTTGACTGACCTGCCAAGAGGCCTAGTGATGGCCATATAGGAAATTCTCTTCTCAGTTACACTGAACTTCAGTGAGGTTAAATGACATGAACAGAGTCATATGGTTAGTTAAGTAGCAGCCAAAACTCTAATTCGGCTCCTCAGAGTCTAATAGAAAGCAGGTAATAATAATAATAATCAGGTTTTAAAGCAATTTGCAGTTCAGAAAGCCAATTCTCTCAACCACTTTCTTGCATCCATTCAGGGGCCCTGTGATGCAGGGAAACAGGAGGGAGTCCATGGAGTCAGGATGCAAACTTTATTTTATAAAACACGTTTGTATGATGGATCCTTACCCTGGCTTCCCCAAAATACTAAGCCTGTGGCACATGCTTATATGCTGCTGTTTCACATGGGAACAAAGTCCTGAGGGACCAGGAGAGAAGGAAAAAAAAAAGGCAGAAGTGAGGCAGAGATGGAAGGGATCAGTACCACACTGATCCAGCTACTGCTTGTTTCATCATGACCAGTTGCTCAGTCTTATTGGACTGTCTTAATACGTCTTGCATAAGAAGAACTGCCTCGTGGTACAGTCCATCCAGAAGGGAGGAGGAAGGGAGAAGAAGTGATCACCAGCCTCTGTCTCCCACTGATCCAAGATTCTCTGCATGGGGAATTAACTTCCCAGCTCTCCTGGGTGGCATGGTGTCTCAATGGCTCTGCAGTAACAGAAGAACAGCTCATAGCACCACACATGGCAAGGCGCCATTGGCCAATGCTCATGTAAAGCTGATCAACATGGCGGGGAAGAGTAGAGCTCATCCAGAACTGGTTTTAGTGGTGGCGACTGGAGTAAAACAAATGGCAAGTAGCCAAGGTGATCTGAGGGACAGGTAAGGTCAGTGGTGGAATAGAGCATGAGAGATATCTGATACAACTATCAAGTAAGGTAACCAGTTCACTGATGGCCAGAGTCCATTCATCCTTTTACTCCCACCAAATACAATACTGCCAGCATTATAATACTAGTCAGTTTCAGGGTGTGATTTGAACCCAAGTCTGCTTGATTCTGCAGCCTATAAAATTCCCATGATAACATGTCATATGTAAATACATATAATTCATAAATGTGAAACATGAGCATGCAAAGACACCAATGGTGAAAGTTATTGAGGAGTTACTGGGAGAGTCTTCTTGTTAATAAGAAGAATGTACTCAATATAAACATAGTATAAATAGAACATACTCAGTATAAATAGGCATGCAAGCATGCATGCTCAGTCGCTTCAGTCATGTCTGACTCTTTGTGACCCCATGGACTGTAGCCCACAAGGCTCCTCTGTCATGGGATTCTCCAAGCAAGAATACTGGAGTAGTTGCCATTTCCTTCTCCAGGGGATCTTCCTGACCCAGGGATTGAACCCATGTCTCTTACATCTCCTGCACTGGCAGGCAGGTTCTTTACCACTAATGCCACCTGGGAAGCCCAGTATAAATGGACAGTAGAATCAAAATCAAAAGGACTGTGAGGATAGAGCTAATTATTTGAGTAACCTGCATAAACAGGACCACATCCTAGAAAGCAAAAGCCATATCAGAGGTCTACAAACCATCCTTGGATTTTTAATTCTCCCTGGGGCTTAGGCACATCTGTAGAAATACATGAAACCACTGCCTCAATATTGCAAAGCTGAGGCCAAGATATGATTCCAAGAAAAACGAGAGACGGCAGAAGAAGAGGGGAATACAAAGACGGGGCAATGCCATCTGTTCTGGAAGCTGGGACTCAGAAGCCTTAGGTAATTCCAATGATAATATCAATGAGAATGAATATCATTTAAGATACAGTAACTATGCCTCCCATATAAACCCTTTACAATATTTCTTCCCTAATCTCCATGACTTTATAAACAGCGACAAATAGAACTTACTAGAAATCATTGCTGACAAGTGTTGGAAAACTTTCAACAGAAGTGCATTCATTCAACAAACATTGATTGAACGTCTACCATAGGTTTAATTCAGAGTTCGGCACTGGAATTATTTGGATAATTAAAACATGACTGTGTACTCTAGGAGCTCAGTTTAGGGCAGCCCTAACAAAATGGCTTAATTTTCTGAGGTCGTATCTAAATTTTTCAGGAAAAAGCTGCATCAGCAATTAGCAATTTCTGTCCTGGGCACTGGGTCAGGAACCACCAACACATACACTATATATTTCATATTTGTTGAAATATACTAATCCACTTGTTCCTCTGGATGTTAGTGGATCTTCCATAAGGCCATAAGGATTTGAGCTGGGAAGTTCTTGAGCTCAAAAATAGGATGCCCAATGAAGTCCAATTGAGAAGGGGGAAAAAAATCATTCAAACAACAGATGGTAGTCTGGTGGGCTGTCCCGCTGTCCACAGGGTTCCTGCAGCAACTCTCCCCCTGAAACAGTGATAATTTCCTCCTAAAAAGGAAAAAAAAAAAGGAAAATTCACTTATAATCAGAAAAAGGAAACAAATGTCCACCAGAGAGAGACCGGTTCAAGATAGAAAGACTAAGAATATGTATCTCCCTCCTCCTCATTCAAATTTATAGAAATGACAGAAAAAGTGTTCTTAAAAAGAAAGAAATCTATAAAAGCATGGGAAAATAAGAAGGAAGGCCACCAACAAAGCAAGACCAAAATCAATATGTGATGAGATTGTCAGAGGAGTGGATGTAGGGCAGGGGGGAGAACAAGTTGTCAGAGTGCAGGTTGGGGGAACCCCAGAGGACAGAGCTCTGTGCCTCAGGCAGGTGAGGACGGGAGGAGAGGAAGCCGAAGCAATCCAAACAGTTCAGACAGTTCCACTCCCAAAGATGAGCTACTCACTGTCAACTCCAACCTTCGCCACATGAAGAGGCTCGATTTGAGAAACAGGAACTGTATCCACAGGTGAACAAATAGGAATTTCAAAGTTCAAAGATTCCCCCCAAAGCCCAAAACTTACAAACATTTAAGGAAAATCATAACCATAAAAGAAAGATGCCAAACTCAAACAATCGAAATGACTCCCAAGAAAATATCAGGTTTATAAAACAAACTGAGTCTTTCAGAGATATGTATTAAATTCCTCAGTGAAATAAGAAGATAAATCACCCATGAAACAAGAATAGACTATTATAAAATAAAAGAACCCGTTAAAGAACCTGGAAATGAAAGGGACACCCATTTAAGTTCAAAACGTTTTTTCAATAGAAGACCTGGAGAGCAGAATGGACGTTAACTAAACAGCAATTTAGTCGCCAGGAGAACTGATACATCAACACATCAGTAAGAAAAAAGACACCTGAGTAGAAAAATGGACAAAGCATATAAACAGATAATTCACAGAAGAAATCCAAGTGGCCATTAAACATGTGAAAAAATCCTCAGCATCAGTGGTAATGAGAGAAATACAGGCTCAACAACAGTGAGATACATTGTCTGCCCATCTGGTGGGAAAAAATTAAAATGACTGATAATCCCCAGTATTGGCAGCAGTGTGAGGGAACAGCCTCATATAGTTTTGGAAGAAGCATGAATTGGCGTTACATTTTAGGAGGGCAGTCTGGCAGATCTTTACAAAGTAAAATGTGCATAGTCTTCTAGCCAGCAATTCCAGTTTGAGGGATCCATCCCAGAAAAAGATTTGCATGTGTGCCCAAAGTGACACATACAGCACTGTTTGTGATCATGAAAACCTGGAAGCTACAAAAGTGACCAGTAAAAGGAGGGTGGAGAACGAAATTGTAAGATATATCCACACCAAGGATGTGGTGCATGCCTGGACATGAAAAGATCCCACAGACACATGTCAGTAACAACCAGCTTGTCCTGATAATATACAAATGTAAGGTAGTGTTTTAGTGCTTTACACAGTGATATCTCATTGAAACCTTCCTGACCCTGAAGCTGCTGCTGCTGCTAAGTTGCTTCAGTTGTGTCCGACTCTGTGTGACCCCATAGACGGCAGCCCACTAGGCTCCTCTGTCCCTGGGATTCTCCAGGCAAGAATACTGGAGAAGGCTATGGCAACCCACTCCAGTACGCTTGCCTGGAAAATTCCATGGACGGAGGAGCCTGGTAGGCTGCAGTCCATAGGGTTGCTAAGAGTCGTGCACAACTGAGCGATCCTGAAGAGGTGAGTACAATTATTAACCCTATCTTACTGAGGAGGAAGGACTTCCCTGTTGATTCAGTGGTAAAGAATCCACCTGCCAACGCAGGAGACATGAGTTCAATTCCTGGTTCAGGAAGATCCCTTGGATGCATGGCAACCTACTCCAGTATTCTTGCCTGGAGAATCCCCGTGGGCGACTAAACAACACTGAGGGAGAAACTAAGGTCCCAACTTTGAACAGTTACCCAAAGTGACACACAATAATGAAGCTGGGGTTTAAAACTTGGAGCTTGATTTCCGGGACTATGCTTTCAAAACATGCATTCAAGGATATATCGTGAAAGTGTTAGTCGCTGAGTCATGTCTGACTCTTTGTGATTCCATGGACTATAACCCACCAGGCTCCTCAGTCCATGGAATTCTCCAGGCAAGAACACTGAAGTGGGCTGCCATTTCCTTCTCCAGGGGATCTTCCCGACCCAGAGACTGAACCCACGTCTCTTGCATCTCCTGCACTGGCAGGTAGATTCTTTACAACTACATTATCTGGGAAGCCAGAATCATGGTGAAAGTTAAATACAACATGGATCATGCATAAGCGCAAAAGGCACAGTGCTCAAAACAGAGGTGCCAACATCCACACACCCCTCCTTCCTCTTTCCTATGGTTGAAATGTAAGTAGAAATCTGCCTCGATTCTGGTTAACCGAGTTTTCCAGGCAGTTCTGTCCTCCCAGCATCTAACTATTTGTAATTGGATAGTTTTCTATGCGCTTTCCTTGAAGTTAAGAGCTGCCCTAGAGACCTGGGGACATCCATGAAGAAAAAGTAATACAAATTCCAGAGTCCCTTTTATAGCAAAACCCCAGTGAGATGGCCAAGGAATTCTGTGAACATTTCTACGCCCGCGAAGCTCAGGGAGATGGGGACCCCTGTGTTGTCACAGCTCTGTCTCCTAGAATCCTGGGTCCCACCTTTCTGGGTCACCAAGCTCCACTGCTGGCTTTCTCACAGGCAGTACTGAAGCCACATTAACACAAAAGTTGTTTCTTTTTATACACACTGTTTGAAAGGCAACATCTCTTCTAATGTGAGGTCCCTGGCAGGGGAACAAATAGAGTTGTGGGAAATGAGAATGTGCATACCGCTTCACAGTTATAGGGTGCTGTTACATATAGTCCCCATGTCAGACTCACAGGAGCCAAGCTAAGTATTATTTATAAGACATTTGTTTGCCTAGTTAGGGGACTTAAGCTCAGCATGCATAAGGAAACTGCCTGAGGTCACACACAAACTAAGTGGTACGGCTGTATTTGGAACAAGAGGCACTAGAAAAGCTTCTCTAACTGCAGGGTTGCCTGCTCAACTTCAGCTAACCCTATGAAGTTGCCAGAGGGTTGTCTAGAACATCCTCAAGAGGGACATCCTCAAATGAGCTGGGGGTGAGACATGGGCTTGGACAGAAGGTAAGTCAACCAGCCAGCCCCCTTCTCACTCAGGCACTCAAGGTGAGAACACGTCTGTGGACCAGGGTTGGAGATGCCCACATGAGTAGAGAGTTGCCCAGAGAAGAACAGCAATTCCAAAGCCTGGTCTAGACAATCACTGGTCTCTTCCATCAGGATGGTCTAGATCCCTGTAACCCTAAAGACTTTCTGGGGCTGCCTGCTCACTCTCCACCCTCATCTCTTAGAATGCCCACAGCCTGGCATTTCCTGTCCTCCTCCACATCAGCACCCCTAAGAGGAATACCTTGTGGAAATCAATGAGATCCGTGAGTGTCGCATGGCGATTGGGGTCCACTCCCAGGAAGCTGTAAAAATCCCCAGAGGCATCCACAAGAAAATGCTTGAACCCGTTCTGCAGGCGGTAGGAGAGGGTATAACCCCAGATTTTCTCACTGACCCGGACCAGAAATGCACCCTCGGTCATATTCTCAAGGAGATCTTCGGCATCTTCTCGGCTGATAATTCCTGGTTTAAAAAAGAAAAGAAAAAAATGTCTGCAGATTCTGCAACCCCTTTCTCATCCAGCCACGCTTCCCAGCTCATCCGTGGCCCTCATCCTCTGTCAAAGGTCCAGAGAAAAGGGGAGCCTCAGGAGCTGTCCAGCACTTCCCTTATTCCAGTGAGGGACCTCTTGGCCTGGAGCAACTAGCGGTGGTGAGCTTGGGGGCAGACTTTCTACTAAGACCCCAATTTAGCATGCTTTCTTCCAAATTAAGTCACACTAATTTGGATTAATTGGGTACAATCGGGCAAGCAAACAATTAGTAATGAGCCGGAATTATAGTGTCTATCGATTACAAATACAAGTCAACAAACATTGCCCTGTGGAGATCCTTGAGAGTCCTGCTTTAATGAACAGACCAGAATGACTTATGATTACTACCCTGGTTATCTCTCTGGTACCTGTGAGTGAGCACCTGAAAACAGTAGTTCCTCTTAGGAAGTAAAAAGATTTCCTCTGTCTGTCTATGGACACAAGGCAAACAGTGTCTTAATGGGGCACAGAATTAAGCACCACTTCAGCTCAAAGAACCAAACATTCTCAGGTCCTGCAGTTGTATACAATGTGGTTTCACCAGAGTATGACAGTCAGGTCTCACCTTAGAGGTGTCTGTGCATCAGGGTCAATCCCCTGAAAGGTTTTTCAGGAGCTGCTCTCCTCTGGGGAGGGCAGAGGGGCCATGTGTCTGGTGGTCAGGCTTTGGAGGGCAGGGTGGTGGGAAAAGCAGAGGGAGACTTAGTCTACCTGTCCACCCCTGCCCGCACCTGCCTACGGGACCTTCAGCCAAGTCCTCAACCTCTCCAATATCTTTTAATATTTAAATGACCATCTTAACCTATCTATTTCAAGGGCATGTTATGACTTTCAAGTGAGACCAAGAATTGAAAAATCATTTCATAAACAGAAGAGCTGTGGGAATGCAGGCTCCTGCTCTAATCTGTTATTTGGGGGAAAGGTAAATTTGCAACACAATGTCGTCTTACACACCCACTTATTTACCATCTACATACATTCAGCAGGGTTCTGCCAGTCACACAGCAGAGGGCAGAAGGTGGCTGGGCTGCTCATCACACTGACCCTGAAGGCACTGCACACTGTCACCCACCACCCCAACCCACCCACCATGGCACCCCCAGTGCCTCTGCCCATGATTCAGTGCAGGGACACTCCCTTCCCCGATCTTTCCGACTTCACAGGAGGAATGGCAGGACTTCCCTGTGCCCAAAGCAGAGGACACAGGAGCCATCACACTGTCACAGGTTCCCTGTTAAGACAGCCAACAACACAAATGGGGCCAACTCTTTCCTCCTGGGGCCGAGGATTTACCAGGAGGCAATCAAGCTAACAACCCCCACCCCAACCAGGCGGGATAAGCAGAAAACCAGGAAGAGAGAGGGAGGGAAGCGGGAGGGGATCACTCCAACCACAGGGCACTCGCAGGATGGCACATGCATCCATGCAGGAGGGTAGATGCCCCCAACGGCCTTGGTGGGTTCAGTTGGAGAAGCCACCAAAAGACAAGCCAAAAGGGCATCCCAAGGATTTGTCAAAAGACTCAGCCACCTCCCTGCCCCAGTACCAGAAGACCCAGATCCCAAAGGTGGCTGGGACGGAGGGACAGGGAAGGGAGACAGACATGGAGCCAAGGACTATGAAGAAGGACCAGAAGATATCACCTCTGTCCCAACTCAAAGTACCTCAAGCTGAAGTCCAGTGTCAACTGGCAGTGGAGAGGAGAGTTAAAATGGGTGGAGACTAAACACACTTGATGTCACTTGATTTTTTAATAAGCGAAAGTGACCAGTAATACCACAATGACAATGCCCCGTCTCTCCACCATCTAAAACCCTGGAAGATCTTTCCACTGACCTCCAGCTGGCAAAGCCTGGTTCAAGAACAGTGGACACCAGGCTCCGAATGCCCACTTTCTCCCGGCTGACCTGGAATTCTCACTGAAGGATTTCTCTTCTCTCCCAGGAATCACAGGCTGCCAGTCACCTATACTCTACCTTTGTGTGGGTTAGAAAACATCCTTCAAGGTGGTTGAACTGGAAAAAGGTGCCTCTCTGAGCCAAAAGGACTAAGTTTACATTTCTGCCCTTCAATTTGTTCTCCCCTAAACCAGCCCCCCATTGAAAGTGAAAGTGAAAGTTGCTCAGTCGTGTTTGACTCTTTGAGACCCCATGGACTGGTCCATGGTATTCTCCAGGTCAGAATACTGGAGTGGGTAGCCTTTCCCTTCTCCAGGGGGTCCTCCCAATCCAGGGATTGAACCCAGGTCTCCTGCATTGCAGGCAGATTCTTTACCAGCTGAGCCACAAGGGAAGCCCAAACTAGCCCCATTGGTTTCTTTTTATTCATCGCGCATTCTGCCTGACCCATCAGGAAATCGTTTTATCCCAGAAGGTGCTGGGACAGCTCACCTTTGGGCTTTCATGACCTTCTTTCCAGACTCTACAGTATATTAGTAAACCAGCTGGGAACAGCTCAAGGATGGAGCCTGGCAGTCATGAGTTCTACTCAGCCTCCCTTCCGGAGAGACCCTGCGTCAAGGGGCAGCATCTCCAGCTGTTGTCCCTGCAGGATCCACCATGCCCAGGAGGTACTACATGCCTGATTCAGGGAAAGGGTATTATAACTGAGCCCAGGGGCGACAGAGCCACCACACCTACCCTAGGTTGATGTTGTGCAGTTGGTAAGTCATGTCCGACTTTTGCAACTCCATGGATTGCAGCACACCAGGCTTCCCTGTCCTTCACCATCTCCCAGAGTGTGCTCAAACTCATGTCAATTGAGTCAGTGATACCATCCAACCATCTCGTCCTCTGCCGTCCCCTTCTCCTCCTGACGACCCTACATGGGGGATGACAGTCTCCTCCATGGGACTCCTCTACTGAGCAGTCTTTTCTCGGGGGCTTCCCCTCAGCCTGACCAAGGTGCTCTCTGAGCTGCACTCCCGTGTCAGGCTCTTCCTCTCAGTCATCCTTCCTTCCCTCTGCCCCTTTACAGGTGTCAGACCTGCACCTTGTTCTTCAGACTCTCCCCACCTGTCCCATTCCCTCTTCCCTTCATCCTTCAAAGGCATTTCCTCCAATAAAGTTCTTGGACTTCTCCTTTTGGATGACCCAAACAGACAAAGCAAGCTTATCTTTATACTCCAAGTGCCAGAGATGTTAGGGATAGGGGGGCTTGTTTACTTTATGGCAGTGAATATGCACATGAACTAAAATCACAGCTCAGGGACTTGATCAATAGGTGGCCTTGAGCAGGTGACTTAAGCCCCTCTGAAACCCAGTTCAGTGTCCTCATCTATTAAGTGGTACTGATTATAGCACCTATGTCTTAAGATTGTTTGAGACATCATTAGTAGTGTATTAATGTGCCTGAGAAGTAATGACTACCCAATACTGAATAACTCATTTGTACCGGATATACTGAGTACACGACATATGTGCTACTGTTGGATGTTACCTCAAGCTGATAGCAGCAATGATCATGGTACTGCCGGGCTGTGCTACCCACAACCCACACACCCAATCCTCTCAGAGAGACTGCTGAGGGTAACTTTCTCTGAAGGGGACCACTTGGGTCCCTGGGCCCCAGCCTGAGCTATTCTATATGGGGGACTCACCAGGTAGCTCAAATAATAAGCATCAGTGAACTCTTTGATACTTCTCTGATGCCTTCCTAGGACTCAAAATTGTAATCTGTCCCAAAACTAAAGGTAATATGACCTCATAGTTCAGGATGGCAAAGACAATTTTACAGAAAACCAACACTCAAGAAAATTAGTTGGTGGCTGGGGGATGTGAAGGTTGCTTGGGGGAAGAAGCAGGTGCTTTCCTGTTACATTACTCTGCTCTCCATCTCTCTCTCCCCAGATCACCCTTAAGCTAATCCCACCCTTAATCACATCCCATCCCACCCCATCCCCTTTGATACACTTTACAACCTCCTGGCTGAGGAAATGGAGGGACACCCCTCCCAACTTCTGGCTAGGGAGTAGTGAGCTCACCATCAGGATCACAGAAACTTTCCAACTCTGCTAATAACCAAGATCTTCTGCTGAGGGATATAGCCTTACCAGATGATGCTCCAGGGTTGTTGATTATTATTGGAGAATACAGCTACAGATTTTATCTGAGCCAGTTCTCACCCTCAGACAACAGGCAGGAAATGTAGTTTTTCCTGTAGTTTCCAAAAACACTTTCTTTTCCTTTCTTCCTTTTTCTTTCCTCCAATAAACATTTATCAACCACTCTCTAGGAGCCAGGCCCCATACTGGGCATCTGAGAGTCACCATTGAATGAGAAACAATTCCTGCCTTCTAGAATCTTTGAGTCTGGACTGAAATCAAGGTCAGCAGAATTTTTTATGGGGGGGGGGGTGTGGTGTGGTGTGAAAGGAGCTCACTGTAACTGGTATTGATAAAGACCATAGAATATGGGCTCAGAGAGGTAACCCACCCAGCTCTGGAGCCCAGGGATGGAAATGCCAGTTAGACTGAGAACAGAAAGGTTAAGACATAGGGGCAAGGAAAAAGGGGCACTTTGCAAAAGGAAAGAGCCCATGATTCTTTGTGGCTGAAGTAAGAGCCGGGCAGTGGAAAGACGTGTAGAGGTTGGCAGGGGTCAGGCCCTAAAGCACTCTCAACACCATTACAAGGATCATGGACTCCATTCTGAGGGCAGTGGGGAGCCACTGATCTTCCCTAAACAGGAAGGACACAAGAATGTTCAAGAGTGGAAAATCGATTGAAGGGTACGGATTAGAGACATACAAGCCAAGGACTTCAACTCAGGGAGGGCTTTCTCACCTAAGGGTTGCTTCACAGCTACATTTCCACAGGTGCAATCATGGTATCCAGCGCCCAAGCCACTAATCAGCCAGGAACAGTTTCCATCGTGAGGCAGAGGGCCAAGGTCACATGAGAAGCCTGATACTGATGCCAGACCTGGGCAGT